CCCTTGTCTGAATGTCTAAAGGACATTAAAGCTTGGATGGCTCTGAACTTTTTAAATTTTAATGACAGTAAAACCGAGGTCATAATGTTTGGACCTGGTGGTGCCTCCAAAGCCCCTCTTGACCTGGGCTCTCTTGCTCCTTACGTCAAATCCACTGTGACAAATCTCGGGGTTAAAATCGATAATTGTTTTAAAATGGATAAGCAGATTAATTCAGTTGTAAAATCCAGCTTCTTTCAGTTAAGGACTTTATCAAAGGTTAAGCCTTTCCTTTCTTTTAATAATTTTGAGAGGATTATTCATGCATTTGTCTCCACCCGACTTGATTATTGTAATGCCCTTTATGTTGGTGTTTCCCAGGCCTCCCTCTCTCATCTCCAGTTAGTCCAGAATTCTCCTGCTCGACTATTAACTGGAGCACGCAGGCGAGAGCACATTTCCCCCATATTGGAGTCCCTCCACTGGCTTCCTGTATATTTTAGAGTACAGTTTAAGATTTGATTGTTTACTTTTAAGGCTTTGAATGGGCTGGCCCCATCCTACCTTTCCGATCTTTTGAAAAAATGTGTTTCATCACGGTCACTAAGATTGGCGACCACATCACTTCTTGTTGTCCCAAGAACAAGGTTAGCGCAGAGGGGAGACAGAGCCTTTGCAATTGTGGCCCCCAATCTCTGGAATGAACTGCCCCTCCAGGTTAGACTGGCAGATACCCTCCCTGTTTTTAAATCTCGTTTAAAAACCCACCTTTTTTGGTCAGCTGTCTCTGCCCCTGTATGAGAGTTGGCAGCCTTTTGTTGTCTTATTTTGTGTTTTCTTTTCTTGTGTTTTATTTATTGACTTTTTGCATATTATATTTGATGCACAGCACTTTAGTCAACGCTGTTGTTTTTAAATGTGCTATATAAATAAATTTGTATTGTATTGTATGATGTGTGCACACAAAAAAATCAAAGCTACATTGCATCCCCCTTGTTAAAAATTAACAACTCGACCACTGCCTCTAACGATTAGGTCCGTGGAGCCGATTCAAGCATTTAACTACCTGAGTTTTATTATGAAAGACAGTGTGTTTACTCCCACAATGAAACTCAGTATGAATGAATCAAAGCACTCGTGGCCACACCTCCACGATGACGCTGAAGTGTACTGCTGTAATGGATGGATGTTAATATAACTTTTCTCCGTCTCCAAAAATGCTTTTAAAGCATTTGGAAATCTAGGCAAACATGGAATGTTTGGAAAGCAAATAAAATAAAAGTAATTTAATTGTCCGGATTTTTCTCTGTGGTGTTTGTTTGAATAAAATAAAAGGGAATTGTAGCTGCTGCACAGCAATGGACGGTGCCGGGCAATTTTAGGCAAAATTAGGCAATTCTGAGCAACACACACTAAAACAAAGCATATCACAACATCGAAGTTACATCATATAATTATGGCATGGCCTTCAAATTGTGGATGAGTGGCTGAAGTGTTCAGACTCATAATATACAAAGGAAAGGAAAAACTCAAGAACAAGAAAATAAGAATAACATTAACTGCTAGCAATTATGAACAAACTGGCCTGATCTAGCTTAAAGCTAAACATTATCCATGGTGACAAAGAAGAAAACATTTTTTAAAATGTAAAAGTAGCTATTGGATAGACTCTGCTTATTGACTGATAGCTAAGCCAAATAAACAGGGAAAATAGACTTTTGATAACAGGGTAAAGTGTTGATTTTGAGTATTTGTCTCTCCGCAAAACTGCCTGGATCATAATTATTTTAACCTTGGTAGTGTCTAATCCACATAGCATGATGCCTGAACATAGGACTTTCACATTAGAATGTCCGTTCTGCCTTAGCTGAGGCTTGAACTCACAACTTCTGAGACTGAGGTCCGTCTTCTGTCTCACTGAGCTAATTGGCAAGTGACAGTTCATGTTGACTAAGCCAAGCATCAGGGTGCCAGACAGTAGCCATCCATGCCATGGAAAAGCAAATTTCAAAGTGAAGTTCCAAAGCTGTAGCACATATGGTTGATTTGTTATGAATTTTCAAAGTTTTGAAATTTAGAGTCTTGCTGTAGTGCCGTTTCCAGTTGAGGACATCTGGCATGGGACTGGACCTTTATGAAAAGTTTGGGTAGATTTCTCATATGGAAATGTTGCACGAGCTGAGGCTTGAACTCACAATCCTCAACTCCAAGAACCATCCTCTATCTCACTGAGCTAATTGGCAAACAGAAATGTCACATGGAGCTTCACAAATTGACTAAGCCAGTCACCTGTGTGCAAGACAGCAGCTGTTAGTGTGTAAAGGCAGATTTCAAACGGCTGTCAAAAATTCAGTTATTAAAAAAATCCGAAAATACACAAATTGCATCTAGACAGCATGGAGATGTTGCTAATTTGTTTTTAACAATGATTTATTGGCTCCATAAGTGAAAAACTGATGTTTAAAAATGGCATTTTTGCATTGACTCCAATTGTTCACATGAGAGCGAAATTCAAAATGCTGTAAAAAATTCAGTTTTTGAGATAAAATTCTGATATTTTCCAAACATCATCTACCATGACTCCAAAATTTTGTCTTTTTTTTTAATGAACATTGAAAATGTATTTAGCAAGAATTTGCAAGTATATGTTTACAATACCGTTTACAGTCAAACATTTTGATGCACTGTAGGCTCAGTTTTCGATAAATCAAAAATCTGTGTGGATCGTTTGTGTAGGACAGTCTGAAGATGCTCTGTAGCAAGTTTGGGAAGTATGATTTCCTCGGAAGAAGAAGAACATGCAGCAAAACAGTAGGGTCCTGGCAACTTAGGCTGCCCGGCCCCTAAAAATGGAGGATTTGAAAAGCATGGAAAAGGACATTGACATGGCAATAGAAGAAACAATCAAACAGAGGACAATAACCAGAAAAACTAAACTGGGGTTGTTAACCAGAAGAAAAAATTAAATTATAAAACTGATGGAAAATGTTTGCAATGTTGAAGTGGTTAAAACCAAACTGGAAGTGTAATTTTCAACGCTGTGTACAGAACTGCAAGAATTAAATGAATCTGTAAAGGCTTTATTGTCTGCTGAGGATGCAGAAAAGGAACAAAATGAATGGTATAATCCCAAAATGGAGGCACTTAGTGCATTTGCAGAGGAAGTCACAAAATGGATAAAAAGTGTACAAACAGAGGGAATGGATGACACTGATAAAAATGTTCGTGAACAGAGTGACGATGTTGGACCTCAGGACATTCTCCAATGTTCAAAGTGTTTTGTCACAAAGGCCAAAATCTTCACTGTCCTCCAAATCTTCTATTGTCTCAGCAAAGCTAAAACTGGAAAGGGTGGAATTGATGGCACAGTCTGCCAGACTTAAAAGAAAACAGGAGCTTGAAAAGGAGGACGCTCTTCTCAGAGCAAGGAAAGAGCAACTGTATTTGGAGACAAAGATTGCAGCAAACACTGCTAAATTGAGCACCATCAAGGAATATGAAGCCTCACAGGCTGGTGTGCCTCAGTCAATGGATATGATGAATGAATATTTGGAAAGTGGGATGAGGACCATTTTGATGAGGAAGTGAAAGATCCAATCCTACCACTGAGGCTGTTGTAGCTACTGCCACTCCACATATCACTCCCTCTGTTCCATTGCTGTGTGATGAAAATAAAACTGGCACATATTTCAAGGCTGAAAGTAGCATCCAACCTACTGCATATGATGCAATGAGGCCTCAGTATAATCAAACATCTTCTATCCAAGGAAATACTGACATAAGCAACTTGGTAAACATCATGCAAAAACAAAACATGATTACAGAAGCTCCAAGCTCCTCATGCTATCTCTAAGGTTGAGCCCAGCCACCCTGCGGAGGAAACTCATTTTGGCCGCTTGTACTTGCAATCTAGTTCTTTTGGTCACTACCCAGAGCTCGTGACCATAGGTGAGGGTTGGAACGCAGATCGACCAGTAAATTGAGAGCTTTGCTTTCTGGCTAAGCTCCCTCTTCAACACAACAGACCAGTTAAGCGCCTGCATCACTGCTGATGCCACCCCAATCCACCTGTCAATCTTCCACTCCATCCTACCCTCACTCGAGATACTTAAACTCCTCCACCTGAGGCAGGACTTCCCCCCCGACCTGGAGTGGGCAATCCACCCTTTTCTGACTGAGGACCATGGCCTCAGACTTGGAGGTGCTGATTCTCATCCCAGCCGCTTCACACTCGGCTGCGAACCGTCCCAGCTAGAGCTGGAGGTCACTGTTCGATGGAGCTATGAGGACCACGTCATCCTCAAATTGCAGGGACGAGATCCTCCCGTCACCGAACCTGACACCCTCCACCACTCGGCTGCGCCTAGAAATCCATGAAAGTTGTCCATGAAAGTTATGAACAGAACCGGTGACAAAGGGCAGAAGATAGAACCGAGAGTGATAAAGACAGACTTTACTTTCTGGAACAGTATACAGTGGGCCAACCAAGGTAGCTGGTGCGCAGTTGTCAGTACATGCAACCTAACAGAGGATACGCGGAGGCCAACAGGCTGTTGAAAAAACATTTTGGAGATGACTACAGGATTGATACAGCCTACATGGATAAAGCAGTCAGCTGGCCATCTATTAAAGTTGAAGATTCTGAAGCTTTAAACAGTTTCTCTGTGTTTCTCAATGGCTGTTTAAATGCAATGGATTCAGTGGAGTACATGGAAGAAATGGATCATCCATCCAATATGAAAGCCATTCTCACAAAGCTTCCTATAAGTTAAAGGAAAGGTCAAAAGGTCAAAGAAAACTTTATTATCCCCGAGGGGCAATTTGTTGTGCAGCCAGCAATCTCACACATTAAAAAAAAAACAAAAAAAAACAGACACATATAATGACGGCAGAAGTACAACAACAACATTCAAAGTTAAAGTGCCTTATTTAGGAGGCCAATGGCAGTCGGAACAAAAGAGTTCCTTAGCCTATTGGTCCTGCAGGTAACTTGGCTGTTCCTGCGGCCAGACGGAAGCAACCTGAACTCTCCGTGCAGAGGGTGGCTGGGATCAGCCAGGACTGACTGGGCCCTCTTTAAGATCCCAGCCTGGTACAAGGACGTCAAGTCATTTAATGTTAAGCTGGCAATTTTGCTGCACACTTTAACTATGTTATGAAGCCGGCTTTTGTTTATAAGGGTGATTGACCCATACCAGCTGATAAATGAAAATGTTAAAACAGTTTCTAAAAAACAAGAATAAAACATTTTCATAAATGTGTTGTCCATATTAAAAGCACTATGTTTCCGATAAAAGTGCATTCTTTGGTGGGCTTTCTTACAGACAGCATCCACCTGGAGATCAAATGTCAGCTTGTTGTCAAGAATGGTGCCAAGATACTTGTAATGCTGAACACATTCAATCACTTGATCATTTATCACCTCAGGTGAGACAACTGTAGGGTTCTTCCTAAAATCAACAATCATCTCCTTGGTTTTGGATACGTTAATGTTTAAAAAGGATGACCTGCACCAATTGGAGAATTCTGCCACTACAGGGCCATGATCAGGATCGTCACTATTTAGCAGACTAATGATCACCGAATCATCAGCAAATTTTAAAATGTGTTTTATTTGTGTACAACACAAATAAAAGAGGTGAGAGAACGCAGCCTTGGGGGGACCCTGTGGAAGAGATAAGAACATCAGATAAAACTCTGTTCACCCTGACATGTTG